CAGGAGCTGAACGGGGTCAGGCTGGGGAAGGGGAGGATGCTCAGGAACATTCCCAGGAAATCCCAAATCCCTCCTTGGCCTTTAGGGGAAACCTGGGAGTGCTGATTCCTTGTGCCAGGCAGGGAACGGGACAGGGACAGGGACACAGGGAAGGGACCGAGGGACAGGGAGGGGACAGAGTGACAGGAACAGGGACACAGGGATGGGACAGGGACACAGAGAGGGGGCCCAGGGAAGGGACAGAGGGACAGGGACCCAGGAACAGGGACACAGGGAAGGGGCAGGGAAACGGGGAAGGGACACAGAGAGAGGACACAGGGACACAGGGAAGGGACAGAGAGAAGGGACACAGGGAGGAGATAGGGACATAGGGACAGGGACATGGGAAAGGGACAAGGACACAGGGAGGGGACCCAGGGAAGGGACAGAGGGACAGGGGCAAGAGACCCAGGGCACAGGAAAGGGACAGAAACATGGGGAAGGGACACAGAGACAGGGACACAGGGAAAGGACACAGGGATGCAGGGACATGGGAAAGGGACAGGGACAAAGGGAGGGGACACAGGGACAGGGACACAGAGACCCAGAGACACAGGGAAGGAACAGGGACACAAGGAAAGGACACAGGGACACAAGGAGGGGACAGGGACACGGGGAAGGCACAGGGACATGGGGAAAGGACAGGGACATGGGGGAGGGACAAAGAGACAGGGACACAGGGATGCAGGGATGGGACAGGGACATGGGAAAGGGAAAGGGACACAGAGATCCAGAGACACAGGAAAGGTATAGGGACACAGGGAAAGGACACAGGGACACAGAGAGGGACAGAGGGACAAAGGGAAGGGACAGGGACACAGAGAGGGGACAGGGACACAGGGAAAGGACACAGGGATACAAAGAGGGGACAGAGACACAGAGGTGGCCCAGGGAGGGGACAGGGACACAGAGGTCCAGAGACACAGGAAAGGGACAGGGACACAGAGAGGGACAGAGGGACAAAGGGAAGGGACAGGGACACAGAGAGGGGACAGGGACAAAGGGAGGGGACACGGGGAGTCCTCCCGGCCCATTCCGCTCTCCGGAGCTTCACGCGTTATTTGGTCCCAACAATGGGACCTTGGGAACAACAATGGAATTTCGGGAACAACAATGGGACTTTGGGGACAACAATGGGACAATATTTGGGGACAATGCCGGGACTTTGGGGACAACAATGGCCCTCGGGAGGGACGGGGTGCCCCGGCCCG